CTGCATAAATACGTCTTAGTCGGAAAGCACGGGAGATCACTTCGCCCACTGCCTCATCGCCTTTGAAAATGTCCATCGCAGTTGTGGGCGAAACGTCAGGAAGAAATTCCTATAGACCACGGCTTCAAAGCCCGGAAAATATTCCTAAATGTAATTTGATCGGCCGTGAAAGCCTTCATAGTTAAATACTTCCTCAATGAGTTCAAATAAAAAAGTGCAGTTGCATGTCTAAGTTTGAATCCATTATTACGAATGAAAAGTTTGTAGAAAATGTTTATTAAATACTATAAAAAGATGGAAATAGAATTATTTGCTACCAAAACTACTTTTAGCTTTTATTACTTTTAGAGTCAATTATTAAAATACGTACTTCCAAACTAATATTATTCGGGTTAATATTAATTGTGCAATGTGATAAACAATTTGTTATACCTTTTTCAATTTCTATGAAATACCATATTATACTTTAATATTTTTCGATAAAATTCTGGTTTTTTAGATATTTCTCTAAAAACGAAATCATAACTTAAGATCCAGATAAGGTATTTTGAATAGTGTAATTATTCGTGATTCGTGAAACAATGAAATTATTCGACTGTTTCTGATGGCTTACATAATTGTACATCTAATTTATGTGTAATTAATAGGCATGATAAAACAAACAGAGTTTGAATCTAAAATGTATATCAATGTTTTAATTATCGGTGTTAGATAATCCCGTTTATAATATCATTTTAATTATACCTACATGAACTACTACCAAATTCAAAATCAGCGAAACTTCTTCAACATCAAACGACATTACAAGTACAACTATATCTGTTATATCTTTTTTAGCAAAACATCGTGACAAAGCCTAAATTGCTCAAGTTAATACGGCATATACAATAATTAAATGGTGAAATTAAACATACTCTAGGTCAAGGCAATGAATAGCGACAATTTTTCCCACGCAAGGACGTTTTAAAAATGTAGAATTTCTAAGAGGGGAGACTTCAACCGTTTACCAACGATTTTGTAGAATGGTCTTTTTCCTGGCAATGCCAAAGAAGTCAAGATCTATTCAGAACAAATCAGTATGGTTTTTGAGGTATTGAGTGTGAATAGGTTTTAAAATGGTTTTCAAATTATTGGCTGTGAGTATAACTTTATTTATATATCGAATGCAGTTTAATACCACATTTACTTGATTATTATAAAATTCTAATTGTTGTCCGTCCGTCTGTATTTCTGATGTCTGTTCGTGTGTATTTGTTCCCGTTGGCTATAAACATGGATTCGGTCACAAAATTATGCCTGAAATATTTTTTGTCCTGCTCAAATAATAACCCGTCCCAATGGTTAATACTAGATACATATATTTTCAAAACCTTAATTTGCTTTGCATAAGTTCACAATTCAGCTGCAATTTTGTTACTTATATTCACTTTCTTTAAAAGGCGTACCTTATGCATTTTCTATGAGAAATTTCGTACAGGACGAGTAAAAACGATTTATTTAACTAACTGCATTATCTAACAAAGTCATATTTAAAACGTTTTAAGCCATTCTAATGTATCGTCGCAACACTTACAAATATTGCCTCATGAATCAAAAGTTACAGTTTTAGTTTTTTTGTGAAGCTTTCAATTACGGTCGATTTGATTCCATGATTGCTTTTTCTTATTGGATTTTAATGAATAAATTATATTTATGAACTGCGATTTTTGGACCGCATTGAGCGAATAAGTCGCTCGAAGTTAATGGTTTTAAACAAATTAAATAACATTGAAACTTTGCTGTGTTATTATTTTTCACCTTATGATAGCAGCAGGAAGAAGAGAATGAATGTCTTTGTTATATGTTTTGTTAATCAAATTTGTCTCAGAAATATTTTGTATACGGTTCATAGAAATGTTCTAAAATACTTTTGTTAAAATCATTGAGCTCCCAAATCAAATACACATTTGGTTATGTAGATATATTATCTGCAGCATTCGATTGTTTATGGAAATATTTTTCAACCAAATTTAACTGAAAAGTTAAAAATTATGAAAATGTTAGCAAAAATTCCGTACAAATTAATTCTTATGCATATGTCGAACGAAAATGAATGATTATCAACTTAAACACGGGAAAACCAGTTAGAACTTTGGAAGCCTAATATATTAAAATTTATGAAACTTAGATTGCTTCAGATTTTACTTCTCGAGCAGTTACACACGAAATATTTATGTACAGTGGCCTTGAAATTCCTTCTTTCCTTTGGCGAGCAACAAATAGGTGTTTTTTCCAATGCATGCATTTTATTTGCAAAAGAATTTTGTATCGTTATTTAGATTTTTTTCACGTAGCTTTTAACATTTAAATATTTACTCCAAATAATTATATGTGTGGTGGGTTTCAAGAGAAACTTTGTCTCGAATGTTAAACTTAAATTATACATATGCAAAAACCTACGAATTTGAATTTCTGGCACCAGTTAATACAATCCACACTTCGGGACTATTCTGAATATTTCCATATTAATTGACTTTGAAAATAACATCTGAGAACCAATTGAAGTTACAAAGATATAATTGGAATTCACCGTGACTCGGTTTAATATTTTCTTGTTATCCGGAAATGAGATTTAGTGTAGTAACTATAACAGTAGCAGATCTTTAGAAAATTCTTACAATTTTCTATTCAGTCTTTTTTTTATCGGTAAACACAAAATATGTTAAATTGATTATTACTTCATTCAAGTTAATAAATGGAAATCAGGTAGAAATTGGGCAAACTATTTTTAGATGAAACGTCGTACTTGGCACGATAGAAAATTATAAAAAACTAACGCAAACTAAGTCCATGTTATTATGTATATTAGCAAAAACATTACTGATATTACTAACAAAAAAACTTCGTCGATTTAAACCCATGCATAAAATGCTCAGTTATGCAGGAATAAAATTAAAATTTCCTCTTGTTTATAACGGTGATTTAGCATTAAGTCTTACCACTGATCCACTTACATTTGACTTTATATTGAAGATTAGTAATCGAAATTTATAGAAAATTACAGAAGTTGTTTTTTCCAGTACATCTACATACTTTCATTTGTGACAGACAATGCTTTTGCGCAATTGACTTTGGGCAACAAGGGGCAAACCAAAGTCACTGCAGCCACAAGAGGACAAAACCCAAAATGTGCAGCAAATTCAGGACTGACTTTTTGTGAAAATATCAACGACTACCCTTAGTAAGTTTAGATTACCCATTATTTCTAAATGAAAAGGAAACGCGGTAAACGAAATCAAATTCGGTTTAATTTTTCGTATTTCGGTATAATAAACGGGATAATTAAACTTCAATTTGGGTTAGTTAGTTGCTTTTGTCTCTATTGTCTTAACAGTAGATGAATTTAATATTTCTTTATTATTTTATGAGGTATATTATAAATCATCATCGTCAACGCTCTACGGAACCACAAATATGCAATCTTAAGCTGTAACATAGCATTATGTATATTACGAACTTCAAAATTAGTTATACTAATATTGGAAAAGTCATTGTAAGTTCCAAGTAAAATATTTCAATTCTGATTATCTCAGTTTCCGGTGATTCATAAATAGTAAATCTGAAATTATTTATTTAAATCGTGACCGGTATTTGAGTAATAAAATAATTTCGAGGTAATTTGGAAATTCCCAATTAATTAAAAGTATCTGCTGTAGCTTATCTACATAATGAACCGTTAAGGAAACAATGCTTGTGTCCATAAGATGATAAACAAATATATTATTTAAAAATCATGCTAATTAACATATTAAGGAAAGTGTTGTTTCGATGGAATTTTGGCGAATAATTGATTTATATTTGCTTGTATTTTACTGAAGCAAAATAATACTTTACTTCAACTAACTTTTAATTGCACAAATGCAATTTATTGCATTATCAAAATAGTAGGAAAGTTTTAGTTAAGGTGTCTGTGTTTTGATTTTAACCGTATTTTTTTTCACAGCGAATTGGTGTTAAACGCCATCAGAAAATCTAACATTGATGTCAGAAGACTGCTTGTCGATGAGTCGAAAGATGAAGGACCAAATCTGAGTTTCGTAAACTCAGCACGAGATTACCGACAATTACCAGCTCCAAGACTGTTGGATTCTGATAAACGCATCACAGGTAAGCAGCTACCATTACGATTGATAACAGATATCAATCGTTTGCATTTCCATTATCAACTTCATTTTGTCTTTACCTGCAATACATTTCTTCTGTGTATCGCTCATGTTTCATTCCCACAATATCACTCGCAGTAACCAACAACTTATAGAGGGTTGTTTGATGGACTAATTACGATATCGTTCTTGCGGAAATATTACACACCTTAGATTGACTTTATTCACATATTTAAAGATATCACTCTATACCAATTATTTGAAGCTTTTAATTTTGTCTCTGGTTTAATAGTTAAATGCTGTTTTTAGTTGTGTTCAACTCTCAAAGTTAATAAATCAATCACGGTACTCAAATATTCAGGGTGTCCGGAAATGGTACGAGCAACACGTCTAAAGGTAGTTCGAGAGGTAAAATCAGTGAGACAAGTTCCTATAAAGCTTTTTCGAAAACTCAATAATACCTGATATACAAATCCTTATTAAACTTTTCTTTCCATAGTTGTTTTCATTTTATCAGTGCATTTTCTCATATGAAAGTTATAAATTATCACATTTTGGTATTCTCTTAGGTAAGTAACATAACTTCATTATTTTTCGCATACTTTGCATCATTACTACTACAATAACGATAATTTGTCTCCAAACTGTATGGTGATTTTATTATTTTACAGATAATCCACAAAATGAAGAGAAGAACGTTCACAGTAGCAAAGAATTATACAAAAGAATCCGAAGATATCTGACTTTATCTGGATGATTTATTGCCCAAGTTAAATATTGTATACTACGTATCAAGTATATAGCAAAATAATATATATCTACCTTTCAAAACTAATTAAATCGTTCTGCTTTTACGTATAGTGTATTTATTGTTTGATTAACCTAATTGTTTAAATTTTCACATTTAATAGGGCGCAGTGAGAGTAAGAAAAAAAGATAAAGAATATTTGACGAATTATTCTTATTATTACTTCAAAATTCGACTTTATCGGATATAGTAACAATTGAAAATCGATTTTCTGATGAATCTAATAATATTAATCTAGAATGTATTAATATTAAATTTCAATTCCAGAAATTACAACAATTTCAAATTGAAAACTACTTCCAAAAACGTAAACGAGTTGCTTTATTTTCTTGAGTTAATTGTAGAACAGGTAGAATTTTATAAGGGCGGTATTTACAGACTGAGTCAGCGAAGGGAGACCCCTTCGTAGATCGTACAGAAATAGCTGCTGGAAAAAAAGTTTATATAAAAGTGTGGTTTTTGCCAAAGCATTTGTTTCTATTACTTTGAAGCATACAGGGTAGCTCAAAATAAAATTATGGCAGTCAAGTTAATTTTTTTTTAATGGAATATCCTACTTTTTATCCTAGAATCAGGTTCTACCTTGAATTCTAAGTATTTTTTGTATAACATACTATGTGACCGAATTCAATAGTTTTGGACATTGCGGGTTTAACACATGGGAGCGCAACAAAAGTAAACACGATGATTATTTTGTTTACTTAATAATAATAATAATAATAATAACATAATTTTAAAGGAATTTCAAAAGAAATGTTCAGTTTTTTACTGTTGTTATGTCCAAACCATTGAATTAATTCACATGGTATGTTATACAAAAATTCCTTCGAATTCAATGTGGAACCTGAATCTGGATTAAAAAGTAGGCTGTTCCATCAAAATAAATTAACTTGACTCTTTGTTTTGAGCTACCCTGTATAGTTCAAAGTATCAGAAACAAATACTTTGGCGCCAACCACACACACACTTTTATATACACATTTTTTTCAGCCGCTATTTCTGTACAATCTAAGAAGGGGTGTCGCTTCGCTGACTCACCCTGTATATTGTTTTAGAGTTCTTCTTATTATAGGTATAGTAAATTTTTTCATATAAGAAAGTACTACATATATATTTCGTATAAGAAAATTACTTTCTATAGTGGCATGAAGATTTTCAGAAGCCAATTGATGATCATTATGTAGATCAATTAAACCGTCATGACCGAATGCCGCTTCATCCGTAAATAGCAAATTTCATAAAACATTTTCGTCGCCATTATGGAGGTGGATGATTTTTTTACACATCGGCACGAGCCAAGGAATCTTCCTCACTTAAAGCCTGAAGCTTCTGATAGTGAAACAGATGAAGTGGTTAATACTTTAACACCTCGTGCACTGAACTTTTGCTCGTGCACTAATAATTCACCACGTTTTTACAATCTGATTTAAAATCATCACTCCATTTTGCAAAATCAGAAAGTTAAAAATACTTTTCTTTCATAAAATTATTAACAGTGGCAAGAAGTTGACAAAAACTGTTATACACTTTTGCTCCAGATTTAGCAAAACTTCTAATATGCATAGGTTTTCTTCTTCCACCTTCATAACTCTAACCTTTTAACCCTACCTATTGTACCGTTTAAAAGTGTATTAATAATTAATCAAATTAATATATCAATCAATAAACAATCAAATAGCCTTTTATTTAATAATTTTAAAAATATTTGTTGCGCTATAGGACAGAAAATTTATCAAGTCCAAAATGGGTATGTAAATTACGCCAAGAAAGATTTGGAAACAAAAAAGCAGGTTTTAGCGCTTATTTTTCACTATTTTTTCCATAACATCTTTATATTTCAAATTAATAAAATATATTCACAAATTTATTGCCGTGTTTTCAACAATAATTGTTATTACTCGCCCACGTACCTAATGTAACTCCACCCTACATTTATAAGTTATAGATTACAATGATTTGGTTCATACAAACATAGCTCCTTAGGCACGTTTACACTTCCTTAATTTATAACATTTGTTTCAGATGCTTTTTTCAACCAACTGTCGATTTACTAGATGCCATACGTAACTGATTGAGTGCCAGACAGTGTTAGTGATTTATTTATATTTATTTCGATTAAATTTAATTCCAGTTTGGCGGCCTTAACAGTTATGCAATCGTTAAAAAATAACGATCGTCTTCTTCTTGATTTTAAGCGAATCGTCTGTTCAATTATCGTTCGCTTGCGTGAGGCTGTCGCTCCATCGTTTGCTGCTGAAAATATCGTCGATTATTGGAATAGGGTAATAATAATCTTGAATGTATTTGTTCATGGTGATGTTATAAGCGGCACACAATCTGAGTCTGCCATCCTTCCGCATGATTGGAACTACTGGAATGGACCACTTTTTCTGTGACACCCAGGATTTCCAACCGATCAAGTTCTTCTTCCACTTTAGCTAGCAATGCGTAAGGTACTGTACGTGGTTTGATAAAAATCGGCTGTGTATCCGGATCTTTTAATATAAGGCTATACGTATAATTCGGAATTTCGCACAGGGTTTCCGTTAGTACGTCATCGTATTCCTGCAGCAATACTTGTAATCGTGAATCGTCGACACAATTCACTGCGTGATGATTGCGTATTTTGTTTACTTCAGACCAATCCAATCGTATTTTTCTCAACCACCACTAAAAACAGCTTCGACATTCGTGTATGTACGTAATTTTACGCATGTAGGATTCATAGGACATTCACTATCACTATCACCAAAGCATGCAAAGAAGTTCCTGCTATTGCTTTGCTGCATTTCTTAAGCTGAGCCGGTTAAAAACTTAATTAATCAGATATTTAGCATTAGCAGATTTTACTCTATCTCTACCGCCTAAGCTTCATGCCAAGGCCCCAAAAACTGTCAAAATAATTAAAACTACTTCTCCACTTTTCATTCGGGGTTTGTCACCGATCTGTTGCTTTCCTGGCAAAGCGATGGATCAGGACTTTATGTATAAAACACTGTCGATTGCCATTAAATAATAACGTAATACAGTAGTATTACCTTGAATAACGGTTTGTACACCAAATAAGACCACCAAACTGTTCAACAAGTTCGGAATACAGTTTAAGGAATATAGCCCACAATTGTAACATTAGTGATAGCCTTATTAAATAATATTATGTTGTACTGTTGACAACAAAATAAAACCCGCTTTATTAATTTTAATATGTGTTTGTGTAACCACCCTTTTCCTAAAACTCCGGAGACCACACTGGAATATGTTTTCTAACCATTCAACTTCACGACTGACTGACTACAATTGACTACGGTTGCTAATTATAGTAGCATGTCTTGACGTTTGGTTTATCGCAGGAACTTTCATACGTAAAAGGACAAAGTTTGGAATTTATTGTTGGACTTCAGCCTTCTTCTTCCATGTATTTTTCGTACGCAAAAACAAAATATTTTTGCGAGTCTCTGCTCTACTCAGAAAGACAATGTTATGTTAAGGCAATTGAAGTAGTATTAGTAGTATTGTGGACTTAAATCGAATTAGATCGAGTAGAGGAAAAGAAAATTTGGGAAAACCATTTCAAAGAACTGTTTGGAGGTGAACGAATGTGTCTGTAGAAAATAATGACTACTACCATACTAAAATCTGAGGTATAAAACATTTCTCCAAAGTAACTGCCATTTTTGACATATGACACAAATTTCAGTTTTTTTAAATCGCAACCATACTTGATTATTGCTTTATTACTTAAGGCATTTTATTGCGATTTCTATGATATATCACATCGTTAGGATTTTTTTGAAAATTAAGTGTTTGCGAACAATTTACACGTTTTCAATTTAGTTGATCTAAGTTAGTCATAGAAAATAGTAAAAGACATAGAGCATTATTTCCATAGCAGCAAATAATAACAATATCTTTCAATTTTTACATTTACAATTACAGGTTTAAATCCAACTTAAACCTAAGTTAGCTTTATTGCAAATATGAATTATTCCAATCAAGAAAAGCGCGACATGATTGAGACCTAGATTAGATGTGACAAAAATGCTAGACCAGCCTCTAATTACTATTTTGAGAGGTATTGTGGCGGTCATCAACCCTCCTTGAAAATATCCAAACAATTACACCACAATTTGGGCACTTATGAAAGTTTTACGCACCCAAGAATTGAAGATAAAGTAATAAATGAAGCTGTGGAAGTTAATGGTATTGGCCATTGTAAGCCAAAATCCACAGATTTCAACCAGAGAGATCGCAGCAGAATCTGGGACCCAATAGACTGTGACGAGAGTTTTAAAATAACACACATTGCATCCGTATAAATTATCAGCATCCCAAACTTTACATCCAAAGGATGAGGAGCTGCGTGTGAATTTTTGTACAAGGTTCCGAAACAAATGCCAACAAGACATCCAGTTCCCTGATAAAATATTTTGGACCGATGAAACTCGGTTTATAAACTGTGGTATGGATAATCGACACAATGAACATCTTTGGAATCAAACAAATCGTCACCACCTTGAGCAAACGAGACCAGAAATTAAATTTGGGTTTAACGTTTGGAGCGGAATAGTGGGTTCAAAAATTATTGGAACATTTATTTTTGAAAGCACTTTAAATGAGAAAAAAACCTGGATTATATGTTGGTCAACTTAGATTAAGAAACATAATGTGCAATGGTTTGAACATGAACTATTTTGTCGTCACCTAGATCACCGCACCTTTGGATTTATTTTTATTGGGAGCCGTAAAAACACAGTTCAGAAATACAAATACGTATTCCAATTTAAATGCACTTGAAGTAGCATTTGAAAATATTTATGATTGGTCCGCAAGAAAAGCAGTTTATTCAGTTTTAAAGCGTTGCAATGTTTGCATTGATAATAATGGTGGACTTTTTGAATTGTTTTATACTAAAAATTAAAGTTTCTGGAGTTAAATTTTAATTATTATGTATTGGTATGATTTGATTTGTATGATAAATGCTTTAAATGAGCAGCCGTCTTAATTAAAATAAAGTTATTGCAAACTTTAAGGTAGTTGTCAAAATAAATACTGAAGCATACTGTTTTTGTTGGTTACTATGGAAACAATGCTGAATGTCTTATACTATTTTCGATGGCTAACTTCGATCAACTAAATTGAAAAAATATAAATAATCAGACTATGAAGGCTTTCACGGCCGGTTAAATCACATTTAGGAATGTTTTCCGGGCTTTGAAGCCGTGGTCTATGGGGCCATTGCCTCATAGCCTTTGATAATGTCCACCGCAGTTGTGGACGAAACGTCAGGAAGAAATTCCGAGGAAAACATTCCTAAATGTGAAAATATAAATTGTTTGCCGACACTTTATTTTCGAAAAATAACGTACATAACCATAATACGTAAAAATGTATCACAGAAATCGTATATAAAATTCTCTATTCGGTAAAGCAATAATAAAGTTAATAAAACTCAAATTTGTCAAAAAGTCAGTTATTTTTTTTAAGTTTAAAGAACTAGGAGTAATTTAAATATTTATCATAAATAAGTTTTCCTCAAATATTTCTTGACAGATATCAAAATTTGGAAGAATTAATTTTGTTTCGAGTAGAGCATTCAAAACTACAATTCATTGTCCATTTATCCTTTTTCGTACTGCTGTAGTGTCGAAGATCCCTCTACTGGTCATCGACAAAAACTCACCCTGTATATTTAATCTTTGTTATATTTTTATATTTATTCATGGACCCATGTTTCGTATTCCTCTGTAACTTTTAGAGTCATATATACTATGTCATCTCTATCTTGGGCGATTATCACTTGATCGTCCGTAAACTCGAGTGTAAACAGAGAAGTAGGTATTTAGATCTAGTCCCATTCCTCTACACTTTATATCAAAAACTGGCCGCCAAGTCTAAAATATATATTTTCGGTTGATGCACTTTTAAACCGAGCCAAAAATTATATGAGAATCCTTTTGGAAACTTTGTCTCAGAAAATTTGTCTGGTTGACCTTCTTCGTAACTGCTCTAGTTCCGAAGATCTCTGTATTGATTGAAAAAACCTCACCCTGTATGTGTGTGCGAAATAAAGTGGACGTCTTGAAAATCGCAGACGATAATATAATTATCAGATGAGACAAATACAAAAATCTCGATAAAGAGTTGAACGGCGAAGGAAAAGATTTACTAGAAATAAAAGAACATTTAGGACAGGAAAAACAGTACCTAATAGACAAAGCGCAAGTAGTGGCACAACGATATTTCAAGAAAAACAACGCTAAATATATACAATACAACTGTGAAGAGCATACAGAACAAAGAAGAACAAAATACTTGCCTTTGACATGGATGTCCTGCGAACATCTTACAGAATCTCGAGATTACAGCACGTAACGAATGGAAGCATATTGCAAATGACCGATCTCAAGGAAACAATAATAGATGACATCACGAAAAGGCAACTGATCTGGTACGGCCATGTCCAAAGAATGTCCCAAGGAAGAATACATTGCAAGTAGCAATGGAATCGATGACTACCGAACGAAGAACAGGAAATCTTAGGAGATCATGGGGCGGGGGCATAAATAAAGCTATGATTGAGAGAAACCTCACGGTTGCAGATTGTCACATAAGTGCACAATGCAGGAAAAGCCTAGAGGTCAGGTACATACAACTAATTTAATATTTTATAATAATAATTAAAAAACTTATTTATTTACTTTGTTTTTATTTATTTCTAAACGTTGTTTTCTGGATCAAAATAGCAATTTACCAAAATAATTGGTGATATTATAATTTGATATTTAATTAAAAATCTATTCTGCGCTAAGTTCGATTATTCAACATTTTATTTTTTAAATATTACAAGTATTGAGTGTAAAACGAAAATTGAGACAATTGAGTTTCTTTGGTTATAAACAACCACAACAAATAACTAATTAATAAATTTCATATTTCATTCACAATCATTTTTTTTTGTTTTAATGCCTATACTTGAATTATTAACAGGCTAGTGCCTATACTCTACTTCAATACGGCACATACTCAGATTAATTGAAAATCGAATGTACCATTTCAAGGGATTTGCTTAGAAAATGTGAACGTCTTTTCACACGCTTCCTCAAATCCGAAAATTCCGATCCCTAAACCTCTTATTTTACCAAAGCGGTAGCATTATCTGTGCTTTTTACTTGAATTATTAGATTTATACGTTATTTGATACAGGTAAGCAAGTCAAAAAGATTAATGAATCTGCTTATCATTTATAATATGACAATATTGAATTCAACTTTCTCACTTGAGACATAATAGCAATAATATTAATTCGGTTTTTCAGCGGCTTAAGCGGACAGATGATATTTGGAATCAGGAAAATCTTCAGTATTATCTGATCGCTGAAGCCGCTTTCAAAAACACTTTCATTTAATATTACGGATATTAACATCTCCATTAATAATAATAACTATGCTATTTATTTATTCTCATTATAAGTTTAAAAAATTACACAGGTATTTCTCATGACATTACATTTGCAATACATTCTCCTCAATATCATTATAGATAAATATTATCTAAACACAATCTTAATAAAAAATTAGTTTAGCAATGAAATGATTAATGCCTATTTGTTTATTATTGTTGAAAAGAAAATTAAAACCCCCCATTTTAGATTTCAAATTCCAAATGCAAATCAATGTCCTAATAAACAATTTGTGTTATTTCTTTTTATAAAATGATTGTAATTACATATTCATAATTCAAAATCAACTTAACCACCTAAAACGATCAAGTGAATACGGGAAATACAATAACTAAATGATAAAATTAAACATACTCTAAGTCAAGGCAATAAGTGGTAACAATTATTCCCACCCAAGGCCGTTTTAAAAAAGTAGAATTCCTAACGGGAAGAGGGGAGACCTCAACATTTTACCAACGACTTTATGGTATGATCTTTATCCTGGCAATACCGAAGAAGTCAAGACCTATTCAGAACATTCCAGTATGGTTTTTAGGGTATTGACTGTGAACAGACTGTAAAATGGTTTTACATTCATTGGCTGTAAGTATAACTTTCATTATAAATCAAAATTCATTTAAAACCACACTTATTTGTATATTTCCTCTTGCGATTAAACATATAAATTCAGTCACATTTTTTTTGCATCATAAATAAAAAAGTATAGTTTTTAACAAACCTTTCTATTACAGAATGATTGTAAAGAATGAAAAATAAAATAAAAAAGAAAGAAAAATTATGAGATTATTTAGCCTTAGGCAAAGTGTCCTCGCAATTTCAAATTTAAAATGTATTTAATTCTGTGCTTCAAAAATATTAAATTAACCTCGTATGTATAAAAGTGAAACTTTATGTGGCTATTTTTTTAATCTTACGATAACGGCAATGGGAAGAGAAAGCCTCAATTACCCCACGTCATTTTAAAATCTAAAATGTGATTTATTTTCTGATCCACAAATATTCATATCGTGGGCTTAAAGCTAAAACTGAAGACTTCTGGAAACCTATTTGTGTGGCCTTTGGAGACTGTCAGTTTTTGAAGACAAATACATATATTTTTTTAATTATTTGATCAACCAAACACAATTTTTCACTTGGATACTTTTAGCATTAAGCCGACGAAATATATATTTTATAGGATCCTTAGAGAAAAATTTAACAGAATTTAGTTAAAATAGATTTTTTATCTCTCAAATTCAGTACAAAATTTGGAAGGCTGTATTGTTTTACTTGTACGTAGACATTTTCCAAATTTAATCAACTGAAAAACCAATTTATATGAAAGTATTAGCGAAAATAGTGCATAAATTAATGCTTGTGTCGAACAAAAATGATTATCGGCTTAGCACGGGGAGGCCAGTTAAAACTTTCGAAGCAAATATAATAAAATTGATAAAATTTAGATCGTTTCAAATTTTATTTCTCGAGCATTTACATACGAAACATTTGAATCTCAACAGCGGCCTTGAATTTTCTTCTTTTGTTGGCAAGCAACAAATAGATGTTTATTCCAACGCACGCATTTTATTTGCATAAAAAAATGTTTGTTATTTAGAATTTTTCCACATAGCTTTTAACATTTAAATATTTACTTCAGATAAATATATGTGTAGTGGGTTTGAAGCAAAAATTTGTCTGGAATGTTAAACTTGAATTATACATATGCAAAAATCTACGAATTTCGACTTCTAGTACCTATAACACATATCCGCACTTCGTTACTATTCTGAATATTCCCATTTCAATTCACTTTGAAAATAGTATCTTCACAAATTATAAGAATTAATTTCAATTCAACGTGATTAAGTTTGAAATTTTTTTGTTAACGGAAATGAAATTTAGTGTAATAACTCGTCTTTAGGCATTTGGTTCATTTAATTTGCTTCTATTCTGTAAAGAATCCATACAATGGTTTACTAAGCAAACAGAAAATTACTTAGCACTTGCTGTAAAATAATAAATGGAAATAAAGTGGAAATTGGACAAGCCGTTTACAGATGAATCGTATTATAGTAATATATTTTGTGACCATCCATTAAAACATATCTAATTACTAGTAATAAACGTCTTCAATTTTAATTTATGCTCAAAATTTTAATTTTTACATTAGGAATTTAAATGAATTATCAATTGCTTTTGCTTATTCATATCGCCGATTGACCCACTTATATTTGACTTAATACCGAAAATATTTAGATAAAGTTACAAAATTTATTTTTTGCAGTGCATCGACCAACTTTCATTTCTGACAAACAATGCTTTTGTGCATTTGATCATGGACAATAGGGGACAGGCCAAAGGCATTACAGCCACAAGAGGACACAACCCAAAATGTGCAGCGACTTCAAGACATACTTTTTGTGCAAACATCAACGACTATCCTTAGTAAGTTTACATTCATTTTAGTCTGACAATCTCGATCATAAGCAACAATTTTTGATTTACTATGTTGGCGTTGCATGAATTTACTATATTGAAAGCAAATGGGCCCCTAAAAGTCCATGTTTGGTTTTTATTTCGTTTAATAAACAATAACACAACATGAATACAATGAATTCATGTACATAATAATGAGTAATGAATGAATGCATAGTAAAAAAATTAATTGTGAGAATTCAATTATAATTTGAAGATGTTATTTAAAGACATTCGCTCTTAGTTATTACGTTACCTACTTCAAGTTATGAATAATGTTGACACAGCATTTTTCCTTATGGAATTTTGGCAAATTTATTTCACTGCAACAGAAAATAATTTTACTGAAACTAATTTCTAATTTCATTTGGTATTTTCGATGTCAGTAAAGTTTTTGTTAATATGTTTTTATGTAATAAGTTTTTTTTTTCATAGCAAATTGGTGTTAAACGGCATCAGAAAATCTAACATTGACATCAGAAGACTGCTTGTCCACGAGTCGAGGAATGAAGAACCAGATCTGAATTTTGTAAACTCAGCACGAGATTACCGACAACTACAAGCTCAAAGATTGTTGCATTCTAATAACACATCACAGGTAAAAAGCTGGCATTTCATCTGAAAATTATATATCAATCGTTTAGATCAACTTCATATTGTCATTATCTGTATTACAATCCATCTGTATATCGCCCATTTACGTTTCACTCCAAATTACTCGCTGAAACTAACAAATTATTGAGGACTGATTCATGCACTAATAATTATATGGTTATATGGAAATATTGTACATCGCAGAATAATTCGATTCATATTTGAAATAATATTGCTAATAATCAATTAATTGAAGCTATTAATATTTTTTATCTAGTTTAAATTAAATTAATTTTTGCAACCCCCTACGTGAAAAAAGCAATCACGGTACATCAATATACAGAGTGTTTGACCAGCTAACTATCTAAAATATTTCAATTATTGGGTTGTAAATGACGACGTTGAAAAGATTCCTAATTGCTACATAAATAGATCTGCAAAAGCTTTGTTAACAGCTACAGAATGTTGAGTTATAAGTATAGGTAGATTTCTTTAACGGTTTCAACTTCAACCGTACGGAGACTTCTTGCGTCGACAATACTCGGAATCATAAATTTGTCTTACATTGTTATTTGATCAATCTTTCCAACGAACCAAATATCACTAAAATCCGTGAACAATGAATTGAGAAAGTGTTGTGAATATGAATAAGGGAGCGAAGAAAAGTTTAGAAAAACATGAGTGAATGAAGAATCGACAATAATACTCAACAACATAAGATAATAATAATCAGTTCTTGAACACCTACAACTAAAGACAAAAGAACTGGATCTAAAACGGTCCGAGTTTGACGTCAATTCTTAGTCAGAGTTTCAAAAGCCATCCTCTAGTTGCTAATATCACTCCAACTTGATTCAAATATTTTTGGTCTCCTCATTTATATTAATTTATACAAAAACCTACAAGTGTCAGTTTTAGTGGCTCTGAAATGTAAAGACCCTTTAGTTAATGTTTAGTTGATCGATTTGAATCGTGAGGTTGGTGTATGTTTGTTGCAACCCCTTGTGTAGGTTGGAATTAACTCATTTGACCACAAATCACTTTTTCTTCTTTTTTTTTTGCTTATTGATAAATGGATGTTAGAGATCACGCCTTCCATGACTCTAGCTGAGTGTGTGGATCAATCTTTGAATGTCACCCATGCCATTTTACCATTAGAATGGAGATATTTTTGTTAATTTCCATTTACGTATTTTGTGACCGGGATCCCTATAAAGAGTCCATCCTTTTAACTTTACTGTTTTGAAATTTTGATTCCGGTTTATGGGAAATCGTCCACATTTTTCTACAAATAATCTAATTGTATGACAATGCTTTGCAGAAAGGCGTACCAAATCAGTCATATAATTGTGCTTGCTGGAGCAGCATGTATGTTATTACAGTTCGGAATCCACAAATATGATCATATTTCATATGATATATCTTATATCTGAGTTTCGCTGTTTCCGAGTTAGAAACAATAAAAACCGACTTTCTGTGGAAACTAATGATAATAATCCCAAACGTTAAATTTAAATTCCAGATATTGATGAATTAGGTGTTCAATATGTTCCCCATTTTCTAACCTACATATTCTATAGGATGGTTTTTAATTCTCTATTGCAGCTAAGATAATTTCTTGATTTCTTCTACTTTATATTTTCAGTTTTGAGGCTGCTGTTTCCAAAAAGACCCCCAAAGAAAATTTCCTGAATTAGTTAAATCCCATCCAGCATTGAAAATACTAACCCACACATGAACTGATTCCCGGATTGAATGCTTTGATTCTAGAAAAGCTCTACATTTTTCAATCTACCAACAATGCACATTTGCTCTATTAAAAAGTTGTGTCGAAGTCGAAAATGAAATAATGGGCAAAATGGGCTCAGTGCTCTAAACGTTGTATCTTTTACAAACAATTTTTGAGTTAATTATTACCTATAAAAACTGTATAAAGGCGGTCTTTATATATTTTTAAGAGTTCTTCGTATCATGCCAAGTGTTTCAGACACAGGAATTGAATTTTTTTTATGACTTTCAATTGTAAAATTACACCAATATAGGACAAAATTTAATTCAGAAGAAAAAACTGCAGAATAATTTCTAACTCTTCATTTTCATGTTTTTCGTTCGAAAGTTTTTGTTATATTCGAAAAAACCAAAACTTCCAACCTAAATTTATAAGTAATTATAATATATGTATAAGGTTATAATAGATCAGTTCATACAAACTGCTTAACTACTTAAGGCACGATTTAATTTACTTTATTTATAACGTTTGTTTCAGATACTTTTTCCAACCAACTGTCGAATTACCAGATGCCAACCGTAAGTGATTTAATGCCAGACTATGTTTGTCTGTGATAAAGTATTTGTATAATGTTTTGTCATCAAAATCTATTTAATTGTATTTATTTCGTTCACACGTAATTTCCGTTTGATGGTCTTAACAGTTATGAAATCGTTTAAAAATAAAGATATCTTAGGTACCAACCATTAAAAAAAATTACTTACTTTCATTGGCAAGCGCAAGTTTTTACATTTTTCTACCTCATTGAAGCGAAAGAAATCGATAGGAATTTTTTCAATGCAATCTTCACAATAGGCTTTCAATATTTCATAAACTATCGTTAAAAACGGTTAGTATCTGTATTTAACGGCGTTTTTCTAATTGGTATCGGAGATTTCAGTATTCCCGTATTTCTCAATTCTTGTAAAGTGTACTTAAAGAGTGAAGAGAGCAGCCTTTGAATCGATCTGACTTGAGCCTCGGTAGTTTTCAATCCAACGCGTTTATGCAAATAATCGGGCAACAGTGAGATACCAAACGGTGCAATAGAGCTAGTCATCACTATCACCAACGAAGATCCCGCTTTTGTCCTGCTGCATTTCTACGTAATCAATCCTCACCAACAGACATAAATACAATCAAAAACTAGTTATTCTCAATCGAACCGGAAGTTTTTTTCAAGCAAATTATCCGTTTTCAAGACAGTTATAGTCTGATCAACTCTTCTGCAAAATGACGTTAGACAGCAAATGACGGACGCCTGTAATTAAATCGCATGTGTATCTATCTCTCAGCTACAGTTGATTGTTGTTGACCATTCAGCGAGCTATTAAAAAGGTCTCCCACATTATCATATCAATCTAGCAACTCTGTATTAAAGACTGTATATTATTTTATTTCTTTAAAATAATTTCGATACTTGAATAAAGAAGTTCTTCATTTTATATTGTATCAAAATAGTCAGTCTTGCTTTAGAGACCACTTTTGTATGTTATTAATTGGCCCTCAAGATTTAATAAAATGTCAAATGACAATTGGTATATCCATCCGACCTTATTGTGGCGTTTCGGGCTGATCAAACAAACAGAATTAGCTACGACGTGTCTAATGATTAAAACTCAATATCGGACAAAGCGCGTTATACGTGACGTAAGATTGAAGAGGAGTTGACAAACTGTTTGTATATTCTTCTGTGCGTTCTGGGGAAAGCAGAAAGTTTCTAGGGCAATCTTTCTTATAGTCAAGAAAGCTTTATCGAGCAGGAAAAGGGATCACAGCATACACTACTGAATCATACATCGTTGATCTAGACATACTATATTGATTGATTAGATTGGTTTGACCAGTGGTGTATGTTTTGGCTCTGAAAATACTGACGTGAGTTGACTCGACTATAATCAAGTTTACACTCGCAACTCGCACTGAACTGTTATTCTAAAGGTCGGTAATTATTAAATGCAGTTCCATATTCTCCATTTTTTTCTTCAGCACTAAAGATAGCCACGATAGAATTTATAGCATATTATATTGTCTAGAACCGTCCAGTAGTCCAGAAAGGAACTTTTGCCGTCCACTCGGTATATGCAATTTTGAAGTGAATTAAAATGTCACTAACAAATATTATTTTATATCGGTATTCTTTAGAAGAGATATTAATTATTGATAGGTTATTAACATTTGAAAATGACATTGAATTATTGTATTGCTTATTGCTTGCTCGTAGCTATTTTTAAGGTTAAGAAATGCGTTAATTACCTATATTGCGTTACACGTACCAGAGTGCGAACAATACCAAAGCGGCTTAATACTCTTATGCCAAAGGCATTCCATTTTTAAGTAAAAAGTTAATTAAACAAATATTTAACATTCACCGTACAACACAAGTCAGATCGTTTAACATCAACGAGGCTAGCTCAAACTTCAATGTCCTAGCAAATATGTGTATAAATGCTTCAAGATGTGTTTCTCAAATGCATTAACCAGCTACTATCATGTGTGAACTTGCATTAGGACTTTGGCATATCTGAATCTATCAGGATGGTAAAGTTTATGTAAAATATACGGTTTTCCTTCCTTCTTCACTTTTTACCTACGATAAAAAATGCGTTTTTTTTATTTTTTTTGTTCAAAAAATTTGCCTTGTTTGTTGCTTCCAACGTAATTGTAAAAGGATGGTATTCTCTCTGGAATCGGTGATTGTTGTGACCACATATGCTTAAAATAGATACTGTGAGATCGACAGTTAGTATCTGTCCCAAACAGTACTATATTACACTTTTCGTTCATCATGATCAAGCACAATACAATCAGATGTTGTCGTCAGTGTTTTCGTTCCAAACACCGGAATTTTACTAGTAATGAATCTGTTAGCTTCGGGTTCTACCCCGTCTACTTCACAGTGCCTTTGTAAATATTTTGATAGAACTAGATAGAACTTGATTTGTTATTGTTTGGTTTTACATTTACACCTCACTTGCGCAAGTGAGGAGCCATCGGAATTGCGCACAAATAGTAGATCGCATGTTGCACTTTTTGAATGCAAGGCACCAACTAGAAAATAGTATCTGTCCGTACCACCTAAGCTGTATGCCAAGGCCAAAAAAAATTTAGAAATAAAAAAAATCTTGGCATATCTTCTCTCGGGGTTCATCACTGATCTGATGCCACTTTTATCGCTTTGTAAATTTGCTTCATATAGAACATTTTTGCGCCATAAATCAATAGACAATCTTCAAACTTATGAATTCACGGCCGACGCCCACTTACCTATTAAGCCAAATACCAAATCAAGATAACCATGAGCCCAGGGAAATCCTTAGACGATAATGAAAGTTTTGCCAGCAGCTAAGCTAATAGGTGCAGCGCCATCTTCGCGAAGCAAATATTAGCGTCCCTGGCAAAGGGGCGTACATTTAGACCCGAAATTACTTTCTCGTTGTCTAAACGTTTCCCTATATCATTGGTATTGATATTTTGCCGAATTAGGATAAGCCTAAGGGAAAAACCGGACGTGAATATGAACACCTGGAATCTTTCCATATCAACCCAAAGAACCCCGTTTTGACAATCAAATTAACGCTTTCATGCCAGCACCTCCATACGCTTAATTATTTGCTCAAGGGAGACCCTTAGCTAACATTTTCACTGTCCTTTATATATTATCCCAAGGACTTTATGTATAAAACACTGTCGTTCGTATTTCTAGTGGTACACTAAGTGGTTTTACTTTATTACTTTGAATAACAGTTTGTACACCAAATAAGACCATCAAACATCAACGAGATTTCCGGGTCCAGTTTAAGCAATATAGCACACTATTGTAACATTATTGATAGTTATATTCAATAATAACATGTTATGTTGACAACAAAATAAAAATAATACATTTATTACGTGTTTGTGTAATCACCCTTTCCCAAAGCTCTGGATATGAAACTGGAATGTTTCGTAACCATTTAACTTGGCTACTGAATGGCAGAAATTGACTTAATTGTTTTTAATTGCGTGATTTTTAAAGTAGCATGTCTGGACATTTTATTTATCGTAGAAATTGTTACCAACAAGTGCCATAGGAATTGAAGAAATTTGCGGGTTTCTGTCTTCTTATTCCATGAATATTTGGCACGTAAGAAAACGTTTTATCGCGGCAGTTAAGGTAGAATTGAAAAATTTGTTCAGCTTCTACTTTCGATCACGTGGAAGCATCGTTACTGGCTTTACTTACTTTGTCTTCATCAGCACCTAGATATGTAATCACCCAAATTTAATTCAAATTGTCAATCTTGTAACTTTTGCAGCTTTTAGGTGTGTGCTGAAATCTAGCTTATTTCGTGCGTAAAGCATTATTAAATTGATCTATTCTGGAATTAAGAATTCCGTATAGTTACATATCATTGAAAGATATAAGCTGCTAGACAACAAAAGGCCACCATAAATAAGCATTCACGTATTTAAACATTATAGAGGATCGCTTATTTCATCACTGAAAAAACCAAATAGAAAGAAATTCGCTCGAAACGTAAATAGGATTTTCCTTGGAACTGGTGAGTTTTTCGGGTTTTTAGGTCGTAGTAAAATATAATTTGTTCTTGACGTTTCGCAAGCACCAGTGGCTTGCTTCTTCAGAGATGGTTTGCTCGAGAGCTTACACGTGCTCGCGAAACGTCAGGAGCAAATTCTGGTTTAGGACGGCCTAAAAACCCGAAAAACACACCAGTTTCACATGTCTGCTCGTCATTATAGAAAAATCGTCTTAAATGGTTAGACTGAAGAGGCTTATGAAGTAGATACCTACTGCAAATAGGCGATTTGTCACAAAGAAGGCACCTGCAAAAGGTGTCAAAAGATAGGCTTAACATTAAAAAAGTAAACACTTTCCTTAAGATTTAATCGAAGTTTAAGTTGGTTGTTACTATAGATCAGCTAAAGCGTGATTTTAAAACCGCTGTTATAACTGTGAATGTAACATGTGAATGTGATTTCACTTGTGGTGAAAATACATTATACACTTAAAAAAAACTGATTTTTTAAATTTTTATGTCAATGTTTGTAGGCTGCATGCACTCGTTGTGCATGTTATAATATGGATAGCCTAATGTTTATATATGTTTATGTACCATTGGTTCGTGTGTTTTACTAAATTCGAAGCCCAAATTTGGTAGCACATCCATATTAACATATATAACCATATTAACATATATATGACATTAGGCTATCCATATTGTAACATGCACAACGAGTGCATGCAGCCTACAAACTTTGCATAAAAATGTAAAAAATCAGTTTTTTTTAAAGTGACATTTACTAACTTTTTTGGTTCTGTTTAGTTTGGTTTCGTATTGTTTAAGCACAGCAAAATTTTCAAGCTGGACCAGAAAAGTTTGTTGGGGCTATTTGAAAAAAGCGGTCAATGAAGTCGAAGTTCAGATAATTAATATGGATAAAACGTTGACTAAAGAGGAACCAAATTTACGAGTGTATATCCTTTACTGAAAATTTCAAGTTAAAATACAAGCAAAGGCGCTAAACCATAATAAATATTAGGCACCAAAATAAATCGAGATCGAAATTTAGAAGATAATCTAGTATGAAGTTAAATTGTAGATAAAGGTAGAAAAACCGAGTAAAAAATGTTGTTTTCGAAAATGAAAAATCCCGATTGAGAATACAAGACGTCTTTAATTTATAATTTAATTCACAGAAGAAAACACCAATAAATGCAACAAATTAAATTCCAAGAAATAGAAAGTGCAATTCACACAAACCGACACCTATTTTACATGTTTGCTGTTACGTTTGTAACAAGGCAAGAAATTGAAATAACGCAATACACAATGCAGGTACTTTCTCGTCGTTCCTCGTAGCATAAATATTATTTGCAATAATATCATAAAACAAAAGTCAACAATATTTAAAAGCGATCTGCCAGGAAAAATGTAAAGCCAAACTTACCAAAAGCTGTATCGAATTACCAGGAAAAGACAAAAAAGGTGTTTAGTGTACAGGAAATAATTCTAAGCCCTACTGAAATTGGAATGTAAGAAAGATGTGAAATATCTGTTCGCTCTGAAAAACACCTCCGCCAGTTCAAGCTAAGTGCTTTTAAAAAGGTCTGCATTTTTCCGTACATCCTGCGTATTAGATCTATCTTACCAGGTTTCTGCAAGCTGCCAGGTTTCACTTGCACCAATAGTTCACTTTACTTTTCATCACCAAAATTCTAAAAATTTGCAAGTTTTCCAACAAAAATCTGATAATTTGTACAGTACAAACATAATTATGTAATCGTTTTCGTATTCCGAAATTGGAAAACCGGATTTTTTCGGAATGCGTTAAATGCGACAATCCTGAATCTTTCAGGATTTTTTCGGCTCATGCGTGCATAGTCGGTTTTAGGGGCGAGTGTTGTACTTTAAAACGTTTTTTAATTTGTTTTCATACCACTTTTTTAATGCATTATTTTGACTGAAGCCATCTTCTCTAGTCAAAACGACATCATCAAAAAATGTACAGGATGCCGACCTAACTCGAACGATATTCTCAAAATATATATGGGGTGAGCAAAAGTATTCAAATGCTAGACCTGAAGAAAGGTTGGCTGTAGAGGCATTTCTAGTAGGCTCATTCCACTATCGACAATGGCAATTATAGTAAATATAAAAAAACAGTTAATATATTTTTTCTGTCGCTTCACCGTATTCATGTATGTTGAAGAAACCGAAAAGCAATCCGGACACATAAATGGTGCAAATGCAAATCATTAATCAATTATATAGTCCGATTCTTAGAAAGCGTGAGCAATATTACGAGAGGAGACATTCAAAAATTTTACGAACACCTTAAATAGTCTGTTTCAAAATTCTCGACAGATTCAGATAGAACACATTAGATAATTCGACGCACAGGGCCTGCAGCTCATCATTAATTTGTATTTAGTGTAGTCTGTCCCGTTATTTGTGCAGAAAAGATGTTGATCGTTGAATAAATGGTTTTTTTTAAATCCATGACCAACAAATTATGACCAAACAATGTGACATCATTGAACAATTGTAACAATAGTTTCGCCTCGTAAGCCAATGAAAGCGAGGAAGATATCATATTTCATCAGGCGGTAAAAGAATAATAGTGATGAGATACATATATACATATATACATACATATACAGAAGGCTTCCCAGCCTTCTTATGTCAAACCATTAGCACCATGAGGAAGGCGACAATAAATTGCCGAAAGCTGAACAAGTTTTTATTTTTTGACCACTGCACAGTCCGAATTCCCAAGCAAAATAACCATCTTTAAAAAAAACAATACATTATTCGTTATTGGAAATTCAAGTCAAAGGTAAATCAAATTTCATGTCTTCATACGATTTAATCACACATCTCTGGCTTCATTTACGATATTAGAAGGGCTAAGTTCATATTTCAATTTCCTTAATTATTCCTTATTAATTTACTGCATAATTTCTGCAATTTTAATGGAAAGTTTTGAAAAAGTTGGAACTGTGGTTTTTAGTCGTGCGAAAATGTTACCGTAATTACAGATGAAAATGTATACTTAAAATTCCTTATTTATGTACAAATTGAGTAGCTGAGAAAATTGTCCATCATTTATCTTCCTTCATAGATTATCTCATTCATTAATTTAAATATCAAATTAGTAGGAATGAAATACCTCTTGACATATACTTTTGTAGAAAGTCCCCATGCGATTCACGGTCATTCTGATAAAACAGATCTTTTAAGTTATTCTCAAAATAAAAATCTAAGGGATTCATATCAAGGTTACGAGTTGGCCAAGGAAATTCTCTACGACGAACAATCCATCTGCCTGCAAATCGTTCTTCGTTCGTTTTTTTACTTTTTCCAAAACATCGTAATTTCATTTGAACATTTAAACGAGCTGGCAACGGTCCAATTTTAGAATTGTTCAAAATTCGTCAAACATATGAGTTCAAGTGTTCATTTATTGCGTTTTTTTCTTCGTTTTCGTCTTTTTTTAACCACTTGAACCGTTTTTTAAACTTAACCATTTGAACCACCTACGTTGAATATCAACTTTCCGATCACCAAGTACCCTCTATCCTATACAGAGTTTTTGTAAAATGTTAATTAAAATTTTATAAATTATAGAATTATTTTAAAATTGAAATACAAATTTTAGCTGCAGGTATTTCTCTAATAGAGAAATATCTTACTTAACATGTTTGGTTAAATCCAATTCCTTTCTCCAAGCATCTAGAATATGCAGTTATACGAGAGCGTCATTACCGATCACCCCATATTTTCAACCTAAAAAGCCGTATTCTGAGTTTCATTTGTAAACGTAATCGCTTCTGATGCAAACTGTTCGAGAGCACTGCAGAACAAAGATGTTATTCGAAATTAAACTACCGCTTCATTTGCGATTTGAATCAATCTCCCAGTTCGGTGATTAGCCATCTCCTGTAGGGATATATCAATTATGGCCTTCATAGATTGAAATTGAATATTGTTGACTGCTGGTAGAACATAATTTTCCTGATGAATGGATTTGGGTTGCTACAGTGTTAAATACAATCAGGTTCAAAATAGTCCTTTGTTTTCGAACAGAATGTAATGCGGGTGTTAAGCTGTTGAAAAGACGCACATAAGTATATATGCAAAAGGAGAAATGACCCGTTGATTCAATGTTTGCATTATGCAATAAGAGGTTTTTGTATATGCTCTGTAAAATAGATTAGCTTTTTCAAAAGATGAAGTTAGAGACTAAATATCTGCTTGGAACTTTTCACGAAAGGAACTACTACTCCGTTTAAAGTTCAGCAAGTGAACGAATTGCTTTTATTGCAAAAGTTGATAAGTCCGAAATTAAGTGATCTATTAAATCAAGGATAACTTCGAAGTCGTTC